ATCGCGCGAACAGAGACGGAAGAGAGAAGAACGAAAAAAACGCTCACGGTCATGAAGAGCCGCAAGATCAGAGGGAAAACAGGTGAATTTGTTTCTCTCTGTAATTAAACACTCCGGGCCGAGGGTCGACGGTGTGCTCGCGACGTCGTCGTTTGACATTAATGTAAACGCGGACCTTTGTCGCCGTTCGCGATTTTCCCCGATATCCTCGTCCGACGAAGAATTCTTTTTCCCAGGGCACAAAGAATCGTTCTGTCGCGGGGAAGTGAAAGGGACGAAGAAAAGAAAAGGAATTGCCGTCGGGTAAAGAAGAAAAGGAAGAATCAAAAAAGAAATAATAGCGGGTGGGTAAAATGGAAACAAGTGGGCGTGGACGTTGAAAACGGAGGAAGACAAAGAAGAAGACGAGGAAAAAGAGAAAAGAGAACTAACGAAAGGAAAATTTGCATTTGATTCATCGGTATAATTGACCGGTTCGATTCGCGCCTCTATTCAATCGTCACCGGGGAAAATGTCGCCTTATTTCGGATTAATAGGAATTCCGTCTTCCGACGCTGCTTTTCCTCTCTCCCCGACCCTCCTGCGATCACGTTCTTACACGGGACGCATTGGTTCTTTGTAACTCCGCGGGAGACACGAGCTTTTCGAAGGATGTGAATGAAAATGGTGGAATGGATGGGGAAAACGAGAGTGAGGGTTGGAGAGGGTGGAAGAGGGTGGAAACTAGAGCAGCTATTTATGCGATTAGTGTTTTTATTTTGTGCATGTTACTAAAGTTATTATTAACCTCTTGATCTATGAATTGTGTTACAATTGAACTCGACAAAACTAGGTTATCATTAATATTGTATTAGAAAGAGAAAGAAATACGGCTCTTATGCTATGTATACATTTACTTTAAAGGTTAACGATAGGTAATAGAAAAGTAACATTTAATTCGTATTTAAGGAAAGTAAATGATACTTAGATTTTCTGTATTCTATTTAAAATTTTCATCACGAGTGTGACACGATATTATAGGGCAAGGGGTTAATCAAGCTTTTTTGTGAAAATGTTTGGTTCCTCGTTTCTAATTTAAAATGATTGCTAAGTTGGCTAAGAGCAACAGCTATAGTAAACTAATCAATCACAGTATTAGAAAAGAAAACATTCGGTGTACTTTGCTGAAATTGACAGCATTCCTACGGAACATTCCTACGAAATGTCGGAAGTAAAATGCTGAGACGAGTCTCTTGAAATATCTACCCTGAAGGGTTTTCGTTTAGATTCTTTCTGTTTGGTTCTTGGATATTCGAATTGTGTTATTTTGGGGAAAGGAAGCGGTTAAATTGTAATTGAATGTATAAACTAAACGTAGACTTGGAAAATAGTATTCAGTAAATATTGTGATGATGTATTGTATAGAATTTTCGCCATTTCTAGTTCATTAATTTGTGAATGGCATTGAAAAATAGGTAAATGAAGGGAATTTTAAATAAATTGTTCAATTATAAGGTATTCACGAATTTGTAAATTTACAACTTGAAATGTGAGACCATAATATATGTCAATGCGAATAACCTGTTCCTTTTTAAAATAAAATCGGAATGAACCTTAGGGGATGCGTTCGACTCGCCTTGAAGAAAGTTCGCACAAACATCGGCCTGGAAATATTTCCTTTCCGAGGCGCAAGCACGCTTTGTTTACGAGAGCTTCTGGCAAAGTCACCTGTCGAGGAGAAAAGTCCAAGGACTGTTGCCTTTCTCCGTCTATTTCAAGTAAATAGCAACACAGCTCCTGAACTTCTCGGCACATTCGACGGTCATTGAGGTGTTTTTACTTTGGAGACCAAGTATTTCCGTGTTTCCGTATAGGTGTGCTCTCTGTCTGCTTTAGTAGCTTACTTCGCGATCAGCGTATGGCTTCTGGTTCCATTGTTTTTTGCGCAACGCGTTAACAAATGCAGGCAGAATTGTATGGACTTTTCCATCCGCTGCTGTTTCCGTAAATGAATTTTTATTCGGATCAATTAGTAAACTACGGAACAGAAACAGTACATTTTTGCATTCGTTGAAATATAGTTATCCGAGACAACAGCCATAACTACCCTTTTCATTTAAACCTTCTCTCGTTATTTGCACACACCAATATTGCAAATGATGGAGAAAAATTTTCGCCGAGAAAAACAAGCAATAAACAATAACGATAACAAAACGATAACAAATACAACTCAATACGCAAATTCGTATGCTAGCAATATAAATAACGAAAAATTTCGAATTCTCTGAACAGCGAACAACCGGAATTCATTTTAATTCAAAAGTGAAGACGGACACAGGTCTGTAACATAACCAAGCAAAATCTGTACACAAAACGAACGACCAGCGAGGCGCGCAACGAAAACAATTTTCTCCGGCTTAAACGCGGAAGCGGTGCCAGCCGGGTTCTGCTGGATCCCTTCCGTGAATGATCCATCGGCGCGCCTGCGGTTCGAATCGGTCCGTTGCATGAACGCTCGGTGAATTAACATAAATTCTCTGTCTCCATTCGCCTTTCTTCTCCGAGTGGTTTCATCGAGAGATCAGATACCATAAAATATCCGGTTAAAACAAAATGACTCGCTTATCCAAGATGTATGTATGCATCTAAAATGGTTGCATCCAATTAGAAAACGCGGACTCGTTAGTATTTTCATATAAAACTGAAAACATCCGATTTAAAAAAATGTCTTTACAGTTTTGTTGTTCATCGTATAAATTGTAAGTAGGTATACTGGAAAGCCTTATCGTACTTTAAGCCCTTCAATCTCGCAACTTGTAACTTGAATTCGAATACAGTAAAATTTTAATTAAAAGGCAGTCCAAATCGAATAAAACGTTCGAAGCACAGTTCAACGAAGTTCAACCTTACGAGGTGAAAGTTTTCTTCAAGTCTCGTTTAAAAATGATTGTACTCATTGCCGTGCACCACTCGATGACTATGTTGAATGCAACCCTAATTATTCAATTCTCTTTCCCCGTCTTGTCTTCTACGCCAATTTCCTATTCGCCAACGCGGTTAGAGGTAACCGATAAAAACTGCATCAAATACAATGATGAATGAATCAAATAATAGAAGCCTGCATACATTGAAAACAAAACACATCGCAAGAGATACTTATTCCTCTACCATCCGTCTGTCCGTCAAGCATTATACAAACAAGTGATTTCTGTTCATCCGAGTACCTCGCGGACAATCCAGGTGCCCCGCCACCTAACGAACAACAGTCCACTCGAACTCCGTGCGAAACGAAAGAGGATCGTGAACCGGAAGCGATCGTCGTCGGGTCCTCGCGGCAACGGAGGCCAACTTATCCGGCGAACGGCGAGCTGAAAGGAGAAAGCGCGAGGAACAGGGACGAAGACAGAAGGCGCGCGTTGTTCGATACGCATGCGAGGTAAAGGGTGTGCGCGGGCGCGTACAACGGGGCCTCTTTTCGATCGACGGAGCCGCACACCGCGACTCGACGACCACGGCGACGACGATCCTCGACGTCGGCAGGTGGCCCGCTCCCTGCGCTGTATTGGTAACGTTGCACCGGCGTGTCGCACCCCACGAAGAGGGGGTTGAAAGAGCTACGAGGCGGTGGGGGTTGCGACGCTGGTGGTGGTAGCGGCGGCGGTGGTGGTGGCAACGGACCCGACAGTGGCGACGCTAACGTCGTCCGCGACAGCTCAGCGTGTGCGCGACGCACGGTGGCCCCGGTGGCTGGTATAGTGTCACGGAGGCGAGCGAAAACTCGCTCGAGTGCGAGTGGCGCGCGTTCTTCGGTCGGGATTCGGTTTCTGTTCGGTGAATTATTCTATTGTAACAGCGTATCGTCGGTTCGTTTCTCTGCTCGACGGGGGAGTCTTTCTTTCGGATGGTAACGGCGTCGACGGACGAAACGAACGATAAGAGGAGTGCGAAAGTTCAGAAAGTTCGCGAGATGAAAGATTACGAGGGATGACCGGAGAAATGTGCGCCGGGTAAGATCGGTGGTCCTCAGCGTTGGAGTAGTTTGGATTATCGTATGTTAATGGAAAGATACTAAGTACAAGGAAGATTCAGATGATTGGATTGGTTGATAGCGGCTAATGAGAAAGCAGGAACGCGTAACATCGCGTGCGAACGGTGTTGCTCCCGGAGTGATCTCGCGTGAATTCGTGCGCGTCTCGTTGGACGTTGTGCTTTGAGAATGATTCGCAGTGATTGATGGTGCGCGTTTCTCGGCTTGTGCGGGTTCCCCTTGTTTGCAGCTGGTCCGAGGATCTATAGGGTACCAGCAAATCGGGTGCACCCGTTCGGCTTGTGTGTTGATCCTGCGGATTTCACGGTACGCGGCGCGGAAGAGGTTTCGAAGTTTCGTCGCGACGCTGGGATATCTGGGAGCGACGATGCGCGAGGAGCGTGCAACGGACACGCGGGACGAGGACACCGGAAAACCGGTGCCGTGAACCGCGAGGGAGCACAGCCGGGACAGCGGCGGCGGCGGCGGCGGCGGCAGCGGCGGCGAGGATGATGCTGCTTGATGATCGGTTGCTATGATCGAGCCGCGGAGGGTTCACGTGGAACGATCATGATTTACCTTAGGCTGCACTTCGGGAGGAGTCTACGGTGCAACGCGAACGCTAGGCACTGGAATGTGTTCATCGTGCCGCTCTTCCCGCTCTGGATTATCGGTGCTTTCTGCGTGAAGGACAGTGAGTACAATGACACCACTTTTTCTGATGCGCGCCGAGTGGGTAGGCGCGCGTTAGGCGTTTACCTGTGTACCCGATCAACTGCTCATCCTCTGTGTTCTCCTTTTATGGGTGTCGGTGCGGTAAACTACCTTTGATGGATGTAAATATGGAATGTGTCTGGAGAGGGAATTTCTTGTTTTTCAAGGGATGCGAGGAAGAGATTCTGATGTGAATTGTTTTTTATTGGAGGGATAGGTTTGGTGATTCATATTTGGCGTGTTTCAATTTGCTTTTCACTACTGAACAAATGTGAAGAAGAGATTATGAAGATTTTTAAAATTAGGAACAGTGTTTTGATATATTTCCGTTTAGCGGATTGGAATTTGAAGTTTTTTGGGGGTAGTTTTTCTTGATTCTTAGTGGATGAGACGAAGTGTTCTTCTTTAAATCGTTTTGAATGAAAGACGTAGGTTTGACGAATTGCTGTGTGAATTTAAATCTGCACTCCTTTCAGGGGTGGATTTTTTGTATTTCTGATTGAATGTAAAGGGAAGCGACTGTGATTTTTTCCTTGAAATCGGAGGTACAGGTTTGATAAATTGCCATTTGGTGAATTTAAATCTGCACTCTTTTCAAAGATGGATTCCTTCAACCCTAAGTAGATGTATAGGAGAGTATCTTCTCTTGAATAACGATTTAGACCTTCGCAAGCTCTTTTTCTTCAAATTATGAGGGTGGGTATGATAAATTGCTATTTAATGGATGTTTATCTGCACCCTTCGAAGGGTGAGTCTCTCTTTATTACAGAACGAGATAGTGTGGAAAGGTTTATTCCCTTGAGCAACAATTCTATTCTATGTATATTGGCGCGATATTATCGTCCTTAAAAATGGATGATCTTCTCCATTGTTCTCTGTATTGGAACCACAAATCTGACAGATTACAATTTAATCCAAGTAACTTTTAAGAAACAATTTCTCTAGATTTCTTTATCAAAATCGCTAATTCAAAAAATTCTGTCTTGTCGAAAAATTTCAACCCTTCCCTGAAATTACTACTTAGCATCAGAGTATTCTAAACTACAATTCAATCTATTTTTCAAACTTAATTTCCTTTACCTAAAACACTAACCCACAAAATTCTCCCTCAAAAATTTCAGCCGTTTCCCATAAAAGTATTTCTCAGCATCAAAATTTAATCTACCCTTCCAAGAATCAACTCCTTTACACTCCCTCAAAAGAGCTAATTCACAAAATTTCCCAATCAAATTCTCTTTCCGAAAACGTTAACTCTTTCCAATGAAAGCATCGTTTGGTATCGGAATCCTCTAACCATTACCAGCATCTAAACCGTCAGCAGTTTCGCCCAGATAAGCTCGGGAGTTGTCGAACCGAGAGAAGTATTCGTTCCTCCCGAGCAGCCATCTCGCAGCTTCCGGAGCCAGGTCGTTCGATAGCGAGCTTCCATGGACAGACTTCCAGCGAGACAACGTCTCTCGATCGTCGCAATTCTGGCGTGGGAATTCATTTACTTCGCCGTCGACCAAGAAAGAAACAAACGCTGCGTTGGTGTATGACCGAGCAGAACTGACTCCGCACTTCGACACGCGTTCGCGACGCAACGCTGAACAAACTTCTGCACCGGGAAGCTTTGACACACGATCCCGTTAGCCTCGAGGGAAAATTAGAGAGCGAATTTCCGAGAGCACCGTGTTAATCCTGTAACATTCGATTTATGGGCATTTATTGCACCGTTTATTCCATTGCTCTTAGAAAAGTTGATGTTGATTCATTTAGACCCTGGAAATTGGAGATATAGAAATGGACAATTAGGATACACATTCCTGTAATTGTATCAATAAAAGTCGACGTAAATATCTACAGAATAGTTTCTAAAATTCGATATTAAATTGACGCGTTTTATGAACCTACTGTTAATGTTTGATTTGAAATGCCAGAATGGCATTGATCACCGTGAATATTTGTCTGTCAAGACGTGTCGACTACCATCGACTCGGTTGAAGGTTCAACTTGTAATGCTGACCACCCAGATAGGACACGTGTTCCCTTATAATGATCGAAACGAGGAAATAACGGGGCGCTCGTTATTATTCACCCGGACAGTTCTATTGGGTGCTCTGAAGAGTTTGCGGTCACGTACTGCCTGTTCGCTTCAATGTTACACGTCTACCTCACTGCTTGCTTCGACTGATTTGTTGGACGTTTCGATTATATACAATAGTACGTGTTAGGTTAGCTGCTATACTCAAGAAGAATACCACACTAAGATCTCTTTGAAAAATCATATTCAAATTTCTTACACCTTCTACTCGCAATCTTTGAGTAATTACAAAAATTTCCCAAAACATTCAACACTTTTACACAAATATTAATATATGTCTCCAGTTACCTTCAAATTCAACAAAACATTTCTCTAGGGAATGCTTATTCATATTTAAAAGTTTACTGTATGAAACGATAAAGAACTGCTTTTACAATTTTCCCCGTAAAACCGTGGTAATATTAAGTTTGTTAAATCCCGGGCTCGACGTGTATCTTTCCGAACTGGTAACTCAGCATTACCTCTCGCAACTGGGACCCAATTTTCGTCCGAGCCCGGTTCCACCGGGTTCCGACAACAGTTAATTAAAATCCCGCAAATCGATCAGCGTCCGGTATTTTAATTGGCCCGAAATCATCGGCCGACCCAGCCTGGAACGCGTTACATATTCATCGCGGACGCAATTGCACGCGCGGTTTGCGTTTCCTCTCAAAGGCAGCTTCGGGCCCGTGTCAAGCCTCGGCGCCGGCTCCTCGCGAGCTTTTATACCGGAACAAGTCGGCGCCCGGACGATTGGCTTCGCCTAGTTGGTATTCAGCTTGTCCGTTCGCGTCACTGGTGTACAAGCCGGCGCAAATAAAATGTCGCAAGCTGTTCGTGTCGGAATTGCTGCGGACATCGATTCTATCGCTTTACATGGGACGAAGAAAGGGATTAATCACTCGCTACCCAGGAAATCGCTCTATTGAGCTCATTCGCGATCTTATTATTAAAAGTCGGAATTCTTCATTTCCTAGGACTTCGACTTGAAGCGGTATCTTCGAAAAACTAAATTTTATCGTAGTTTATTCTATCTTCTAATTTATTTCCTTCGGAATTGTTTCTAATCAATAAGACGAACGAAGAATAACGGCCAACTGTTAGTAGAGTTTGATAAGAATTATTAAAAGAAGAAAAATTGACCCTATGCAGACCGGGATATTTTAAAACAAAATTCTATTCCAGAGAAAGCTGGATTGAATATTGTACTCTTAAGTTTTAGAAAATGAGAAAACGTACCGAGCTTTCGTCGTTCGAATAATTAAATTGCTGGATTGCAGCTCTCGAAGAGTCCAACATGACGACATTTTTTACTAAAGGGTTACAGTGTTGTTACGTAACGTTGGTTCTTTTCAGTTCTTTAAAAGATCGCCAGTAGACTTTTCTGTTGGTACAAGGAACACGCAGCACCGAAGATCGAAGTGAATGTCTGCAGTGGATTGAAAGGGAACAGACTGCTGGATCCGGCGATCGTGCACGAAGTGTGACTGTTTTGAGAAAGGTTCGATTCGTTGCGCGGAGCACGTTCCCCTCGAATTCGAACGGATCGTGGGAGCGGCGGGAATCCTACGAACGGTTGTTTCTGTTGAAGATTTAATGGCGTAAGACCCGGAGACAAAAAATGGCGACTCGTGAAATTGCCGGCTGCGAACGTTCCTCGGCTACGAATTACATTTTTCTTGTGTGCTCCGGTGATAAAGCTAACAGAACGGCTGGCAGTTTCTCGATGCCGGCCTCTTTCAGGGCAGACATGCGTGCTCTGCGTCGGAAAGAAGTGTGGAGACAGAAAAATTAGGTTCTAGACGCGTTTTCCAGGGAATTAAAACTGGATAGCAGGATATTCCTTTAGAAATAGGATATTCGTGAAATCAGTGATTTTCGGAGGCTGTTATGAAAATGGTTCTATGGTATCTTAAAATAGAACGTGGTTAAATGAAACTGTAAAAATGTGATGACCAAGTAACTATTATCAAAAGTAACAACGTTTGGTAGTTATTGAGAATTTACGAATCCCGCGGATTAGTTTTCATTGATTTAAGTGAACAATGTGGCGGACGACTCACAAGGGAAAGGAATTTCAGTAGTTCGAGTTGACTATAGAGACCACTAGAGTAGGTTCTAGTAGTTTTAGTCAACGATTTCCGAATCTCACGTGATTGATCTTTCTTCGTTCAAAAGAACGATTTCTATGTCTCTATTACATGTGTCTTGCATCTATTCATTTTTCTCCCAATCTAATAATTAACAAACTTCATTTCACGAAGACCTAATTTGAAGATTAATTCGAATGTTAAGAAAAGTATTACGCGTGGAATCGATATTTCGAGGTTTTTGTATACATTCCCAATTCCTGTAAAGTTTCGTAGCAAAAATATTCAAAACGGTTAAGGAGGGCTACGACTCGGTGTACGTGTATGAATACATTACAGCAACGTAATTCCGTTACGGTTTGACGGTCCTGTTTCAAGCTTCCCGAACAATATTCTCTGGTCGGTGACCGTGTTAAACCAGCACGTGACTTTCACGGTCGAAACAGAGACGCAGGAAGCTGCGGGCGTCGTTGAATATGTACAGGCCGCATTTTTCTCGCAGCTCGGCTCGTGTGAAATCAACTGCACATGCAGCGTTGCCCGCGGCGCTTCAATTAGACCGAGAAATTGCTACTATTTATGTGGAAACCGTGCAACACTGATAGCGTTTACAGTTTGTATCAAACATCAAGGATAAAGAATGAAGGGGAAAATTCATTTCAAAATTCGCTGGTATTATTCATTTTATATCCGCTGAATATAAATTTCAGAATTCCTTTATTTCGTATCTTATCGCTCAATTACTCCGATAATTTATTTCGCTGCTCTTCCCTGCTATACAGCAGCGAACACTTACTCCAATTTCAAAAAATTCTAACTTCAACTACT